ATATATATATATATATATATATATATATATATATATTATGAAATGAAGTTTTGTATTTGATTTTTAAATATGCATCTGTATTAAATGTTTAGGAGAAAAATTTTGTTATCTACATATTCTACTCAATTTAAACACAATTATTTCTAATTAAAAAACTTATTCAAATAAATATAATAATATTGAAATGTCTTTGTATATAACACAATATTAATATTAATGATATATGTCAAACATATAAGCTCTAGTGGATACACGAAGAGTCTCTCATTTCCACTCAGTCACTTGGACATGTTTTTAAATTTTATTGACATTTTTTTAGTTTCTATAATTTTATTTACTTTATTTTTTTGTTTTTATAATTTAAAATAGATTTTTAAAATTTTTATATTTATCTTTTTCATTCTTTTTTAGTTTATATAGTTTAAGATAAATCTTTAGTTTATATATTTACAATTTTTTAATTTTTTTTAGTTTTTATCATTAATATTTTTGTAACGTTGTCTATTTTTTATTAATATAATATATATTTTCAATTTTATAAAAATAAAAAGGGTATATCAATAATGATTGTCACAAGTGAAAATATAAAAGTCATAAAACATCGAAAAAATCTAATTTAAAGTAATCCAATAAAATAAATTTGATATCAAATATATAAAATTGAATTAATATATCTATTACGTCAAACACAAAAATAAACAATATTATAAAAAAATGAAGAGAACTAAAAGGTTTAAAAAATTACAAATATAAGGACTAGAAAAAATTATCTTAAATTATAAGGATTTAAAATAATTGAAAAGGATAAATATATAAACTAAAAAATCTATTTTAAATAATAGAAATTAAAAAGTAAAATAAGTGAAACTATAAAAATTAAAATATTATTTTAACCTTTATTAATTAACTACAGTATATTTTATATATACATATGTTCACTCACACAAGTCATAATTATCTTTATAAATGTATTAAAATGATATATAAATCTAGTAATAAGTTAATGAATAAATTTATATAATTCATGACTATTTATTAATATACTAAAATTACTAGTACAAAAAGGGTAATTTACGTCACTTATTTTAAGTTTTTTACGCCAGAAACAGGTCCGATGTAAATGCGGGAGACGTAAATTTACGTCGGTTGTGATAGCCGACATAAATTTACGTCAAAAATTCACAAGAGCCGACGTAAAAAAGTTGGAAACAAAAAAAATAGCGTTCTGCTCGGAGAACGGCCCGTTCTGCTGCAGATCCACCCACTCTACTTGCAGATCCACCCACACACAAAGCATTTTCTACCTGTATTAACAAACGATGATTCAGCCAAACGCAAAGAAGATGATAATATTAAATAGTATATTAATAGATAAATACATACACCTATTTTCAACATATAAGCTAATATATTAAGAAAGGATTTTCCAAACTAACCTCAAACGCGAGCCCAATGCAATCGGTCAAAAATTCAAGAATTACCCAAACGCGCAAACATACACTCAGATACAATACACTCAAACGAAATCTTAACTCAGAAAACCCGAATGACACTTACACTCAAAGCTCTCTTGTTTAAATATTGACGCGTGCGCGAATACAGTTTGAAATTTGTAGATATTTTACGTCGAACCTCGTAGGGGCCGACGTAAAAAAGCAAATTTACGTCGGATATAGCTTATGTCCGACGTAGATTTGCTTTTTTACGTCGGCCCATATGAGGTCCGACGTAAAAAAGTTGGACTTTATTACAAAAATGCCACCGCATTTTTTTAATGCCGGATTTTTCTTTGTCTGACGAGAATACAGTAACGTAAATTACCATTTTTCTACTAGTGAATAATGTTTCCATGAAAATAACTTGTATTATTATTTTGTTTTTATTAATATTTGGTAGTAACAATATAGGAAACTCATTTTTTTAAAAGATGCTAAAATACTTGTATTTTAGACAAAAATAAATATAAAATTAAAAAGTATAAATACTGTAAATTTAAAAATTAGTAAAATAAAATAATGCGTACCATAGAAAAATGATGGTTGCAACATGTATAAGTGTATATATAAGAAAAGCAAAGTGTACAAAATATAAAATGTTAAATTTTCCATAATTAGAATGCCTAAAATGTCTTTTGTGTCTTTAAACGAAAAAATATTATATTGGAATCTATATAATATATCTATTCTATGCTCCCCTAACGACAACCATTTCTAGGTTGTTGAATTCGTCCAATTAAGTATAGCATGTACTTAGACTATTTCATGTCTTACATTGTGAGATGTATTGTCGGTCTTTGAAAGATGTTTTTAAGCAGAAAATGAAAAGTAAGAAGAGGCGATATGAGTTAGTGTTCTTTTAATATGCAGTAAATAAGTAATTAAATAGATAATTAACATTTCATAATTTCTTAAAAGATTATTAATCCCAAACATTGAAATGAAGATGATTTCATACTCTTCTGACTTATAAATTTTATAAAAATATAAGTAAGGCTAAATTTTATTTTAAATTATTTTGATTTTAGTTTTAATACTGAATTTTGCCATGATATATTGTCGGCGCAAAGTATTGTTATTTGATAAAAATTTACTCTAAATATAATATTTTACGTGATGATTTGGGTAAGATGTAAATGCTTAAGTATATGTTTAGATTTCGACTTGATCTAAAGAATAAGTTCTTTATAGTCTGCACAGTTGCTTCATTATCATCATGTTGGAAAAATAATTCAAAATTTTAAATTAAATCTTTGAGATATTATTTAGATTTTAAAAGATATTGATTCTTTTATGATATTGTTTAGAGATTTATTTCCACGTATAAATTGTGATGTAAGTTCAATAAATAGAGACTCTTAAGATGAGAAAAATTACCCAATCTGTAGAGTGGGTCACCGCCTTAAATGAGAGAGGAGGTTATATGAAAGAGAATTTTCAAGTTTCGCCAGAAAACTTGTGAATGAGGGTTTTCAAGTTTCGTTAGAAAATTTATGAGTGAGGAGTTTTCAAATTTAACCCAAAAAATTTGATGGGAGAATTTGCATGATATATATAATACATTTTGAAATAAATGATGAACATCTTTGTAGACGTAGGCATGAGAGGCTAAACCACGTTAAATAAAATTGTGTGATATTTTTCTATTTCTTATATGGTGTTATTTTAATATGTTTCTTATCATTATTATTGGAGTTAATCATCTATACACTGCCAGTGTAAAGTTTTTTATACTGGCAACCAATCATATTTTTTAAATTATTTTATTTTATTTTTATTTCATTAAGTAAGCAACTGACATGACACTATTAAAACATATGATTAGTTGACAGTGTAAAAGAAACTTTATACTGGCAGTATATAAATAATTAACTCTTATTATTGTGCGTAAAAGAAAAGAAGATGTTTTTGTTCTCAATACATCACAATAAACTTAATATAGGTGATTATTGTTTTCTTAGCCCTCATTGGTGATTTGTTTTCGCTTAATATCGTCAAGATAAAAAGGCTCCTATGTATAGATAAAAGGTTTAGGATTGAGTTGTACGTGTTGCTGTTATATACACTGTATTGAGTAATTTAATTAGGGGAAATTACTGCAGCATTGACCTTGTTCAATGAAACTTCATTCGATCGGCTTGGTAAACAATCAGCTTTCTAAATATATAGATATGGTTGTAAAGAATACATATAATGACGACATCACATGATAATTATAGAGAAGGAGACATGTACACTTAACAACAGAGAGGATTGCTTATAAAATTTAATAAAATAACAACAGAGAGGATACAATACAATAGTAAGAGTACTAGGTGTAAAAGCAGGAACTGTGACAACCTATTTCTGCATACTAATATTTGAGTTTCCTCTTAAACTAATCACATAATTAGTACGCATGCAGAACGTACAACGTATTATTGAGCCCTAGTGGTATGAAAGGTGAGGAGAAAAGACAAGGCTCCTTTCCTTTCCCAAAGACGTAGGAGATTTTATTGATGAAACATTAATTTGTAAAAAGTATACATGTATAGAAACTACAGTGTGTGGACCATTTGTGCAGCTAGCAGCTTAAGCAACCTCTCAGTACAGTACACATTAGCCTTTACCCTTGGCCAGGGATGACACGAGGAGGGAATCCACCAAAACCACCGGTACCAGGGAAGCTGCCACCATAACCACCAAAACCACCACCGCCAGGGAAGTTGCCACTGCCACCACCGATGCCAGGGAAGAAGCCAGGAGGGTAGAAGCCACCAAATCTACCGCCGCCAGGAGGGAAGTAAGGTGGGTAGTAGTTACGAGGTGGGTAGTAGTTACGAGGTGGGAAGTAGCCAGGTGGAAAATAGCCACCTCCAGGCCCACCGTAGATACCACCAGGCCCACGGTTCCCACCACCAGGCCCACCACCGAAACCAATGTAACCCCCCAAACTACCACCACCACCACCCAGTTGATTTCTCTCTCTTACAATCTCATCTGCAGAGCGCATCACACGTCAACCATTTACGATATATATACAAAAATACTTTGTTAGGGATTATTAATAGGAGGCGGGCAAGAAAAACAAAATCGTAAGTGTGATTCATGAGCAACGAAGAAAAGAGAGAGATAGCAGAAATAGAAATAAAGTGAACATAAAGAATGAGTAAGAAAAGGAATTAATTAAGTGCATGATAATAAATTAATTGGAACACCATACAAAATGTCGTAAGGGGGTCAATTATGATCGAATCAGTAGGTTTAAGAAACCCCTGACTTGTAAACATCATTTAAATACAAAGGTTCAATTATCGAATTTTTAGGGATGTTTATTAAAAATTATTAAATAAAAAATGAATCAACGTCTTGTTAATATATGTAATTACATTTTTTAAAACTTTTCATTTATGAAAAAAAAAATCTTAACCATTGAATGTTTTAGTCATTGTTATTATCTTCTTTTAAAATTTGTAATATTTTATTTTTACGGTATTTGATTCATTTTAAATTACTTGTGTAAAAACACAAATTGATAGGGATTAAAAAAAACATATTACAAGGAAAAAATAGGGGGAAAATTGAACATATCACATGGACTAAAATAAAGGCCAACAAGAACAAAACAAGACCATTTTGTAAAGGAAAGATATTGCAAGAAAAAAAAAACGCATAATTATAAGGACTAAAATGATATTAAGTTAATAAAAAATTATAATATTGTTTATAACAAAAATACATTAATCAGTAAAATCTTTTCATATATTTCTTATGTTTTAAATGTTTTTAACTAGGATTTTAAAAACATTAATTAATAGTCCCATACTTTAAAATACTCTTGAGATCAATATAAGACAAAATGATGTATATATAGCTCACCGTCTTTCAAATCCCTGGCTGCCACCCCTGAGGAGATGAAAAGGAGCATGGCCAAGAGGCCTAGGATCTTCGAACCCATCTTTTAGTAGTAACACTACAACGTAAAGATCTACTCAAACGATTTATGTTTGATAATGAAGGATGAGAAAACTAGTGATAATGTATACTCTATTTATAGAAAGGGTAAAGGGAGAAGTAGGACCTTTATCTTAATTGGCGCCGTAGCGTACTAATTCAGTCTTTTCTGTAGTTAATTAAGAACTCAATTGTTCTTCACTCCACCACAATTTCCTTCTCCGTTTTCAATGGTAAAAAAATGTAGGCAATGTAATTGAAGTACGGCAATTATTGTACGTGACTACGTGTATATGCTATGTAATGTAAAATAGAAAAAGCAGACCCCTATATCTAGTTTTACATCGTAATATTCATAAATAAAATCATAATATTAATTACTTTTTATATACACTTTACCAAAAAAATTACTTTCTATACATAAGTCATACGTTACCTTTATTTCTCAAAAGTATAAAATAATATAGTGACAAAATTAGATGCGATTTCTTATATTTTTATATTTTTTTTCTAATTAAAGTATTAGGCATCCATTTTAGTAATCTATATATTAATATTAGGCTTTAGTACTAGTCTTTATCATATATTTTCTTTATAGATAATGAAAATTTTGAGAACTTTAATTAAACTAATAAAATAACTTCATATTAGTGGAACTACTTGGTTTATGAGATGGATAATTAAAAAAATATATATTCTTATTAGAAAAGTAACAGAAAAATATTTTTTAGAGACAGGAAAAATACAAGTTCTGTACAAATTTAATTTATACTTCAAATACTGAAATTAATTACCATATTAGGCTTAAGTATAGCCATAATATCTATTGATTGGGGCTAGATTAAATATGTAAACTTTTTTTTGGTAGCTGTCCAACTTGGCTCACACATTAATTATATCTTATTATGTCTCTTCTTGTAATTTTGGGTTTGTATGGCACCCCTAGCTAGTACCACATATTCAATATATTCTTGGCTGATTAAAAAAAAACTGAAATTAATTACCATCGAAGAATGGGTAGATGCAAATGTTGTGGAAGAAAAAAAAAACTAAAATAAATTAATTTTACACGTTAATGTGCTTTGTTTTTTAAGTCATTATAGTATGCTCAGTTCAAAAGTGTTTTTTTCGCATTCTCCATAGTGATTCCGCTTGAAGTTTTTTTATGCTGCATAACTTCAAACTTAATTTTTAGAGCAGTAACTTTAATAAATTTGTGGTTTACGTATATTATTTCAACTAACTTATTAACATAAGATAAAACCACGGTTAATTATGAATCATGAATATTATAGGTAAAAAATATATATACATTCAAATTTTCATAATCCAAATCAAGTTTTAATCGGTAAATATTTTATATAAAGTCCTGTATAGAAAATAGTTATTGCGGGTCTTTCATCCACCAATTAATTTATATTTGTACTCTCAGTGTAAGTCCTACCTCCGCCATTTTGATGTTTTGAGAAATAAGAATATAAAAAAAAAACCAACAACCCAAGTTTTTTTTTTTTTTTTGTGATAACAATTTTTATATTTTTTACTGAAACAAGTATTCTTTGTTAGATATTGTATATTCAGAACTCAAATAACTTCAGACTACTACTTAAGTTAGAACCTATGTGACCACATCAATTCATTAAACATGATGGTACAAAAACAAAATGTCTTTTTCTATTTTATACAAAATTGTGGCCGAGTTACCCCGTTTACCAAGGTACTAACGTTAAATGACATTGCAATATATACGTGGCAATTTTCTTAATTTGTTGTTATCAGTTTCTTCTTTATAGACATAGGCCCATCATTGAGGGCCTTAGCCCGGTCCGTATCTCTCTCAAATATAAAAAGTCGTTAAAATTTACTTTTAGAAAACATTAGAGAATTCTTTAAAAAAGAAAATGATTTAAAACTAAATATTAGATTCAAGAATGAATTATAAATAAGAAAAGTGTTAGCATTTTGCGAAGTCTATCTTAATAATTTTTAAAAATATTTACTCTATCCTTTTCTAACAAATAAAGAATTAAATTCAAATGAATGGACCAAAAAAATTATGAAAATATTAATTTTTGCTCGTCACATCCTCGGATTGACAGAAGAACTAAAAGTCATGTAATTCTTTAAAAAAAAAAAAACAATTGCATGTTAATGTGTTTTATTATTAATGTTATAAGAATATTTTGAAAAGAATTTGTTTTAATAAGATTCATATTGCACAAAAAAAGATTGTTTTTAGAAATTTTTTTTGAAAAATTCTTTCCAATAATTGTTTTCAAAATTAAATTACCAATTCAATTGTCGATTATGCATAAGAAAAGTGTTATTACCGTACCACGAAGTAAAAATAGTATAAGCTACATGCATGCCCATGTTGTAGGGCGGCGAGAATTTTACACATCATTTTTTATGTATTAATTTTAAATACATCATTTGCTGATTGCACAAAGGTGCAGGACAAATAATAAAATAAATAAAAATTCAAGTATTAAATTTATAGGAAGTTGTGTAATAATTAGCTAATCTAATTTGATATTAATTAAGAAAAATAAAATAAAATAAAATAAACTAGATACATAAATAACAAGATATATAGTTTGAAGAACATGAAAAAAAAATAAAGCATGTATTTTTAGAGTTTTAAGAATAAAAGTAAATTAAAAAAAATTGATTGAAAATTTATGATAAAGAATGTTAGGGATTAACTTCATATCCAACTTCATATGTAATCTTTTCAATTATTATCTCATTTCAATAATTATTAAATTAATTCAACAACTAACAAAAATATTTTAACTCTATTTTTTTAGGTGAGAAATTTTAAGTTTTTTAATTTCTTGATGAAGTTAATTAAACAATAATTTACATTAAGGCTGAGAGTTTAAAAGTTGACTAATAATTCTTATCATATTTTTAGTAATAAATGTTGTTAGTATTATTCATTATATTATAGTTTCAAAATGATTTTTCAACCTCAATTAATTAATTCTATGAGATTATGTAAAGGGTGGTCAAACCAAAATATGTATTAAAAACAAAAGAATAACAATTAACAAACTTTAATTACTAAAAAGAGCAAAGGGTTACATGGAGTCCAACAACTACATCAATTCCTGATAATAGGAGACTTAGCTATGTTAAGGAATTCGCACAAAGGCACAATCTATATGTTTTTTCAAGTCCTAATTTTATAATGTCCTAATTTTATAATGTTTTAAATGGGCTTCTTCAATGTAGACTCGCTTAAATGACAAGGTAGATTCGTTTAAGTGAGCTTGATGACATGTCTATGTTGGCCTTGTTGTGTTAGGTTACTCAGATGGCTCATTTGAATGTACTCTTCATGGTGTCCCAAGGGTGTCTTATGTGCTAGCTCGCTTTGAGCAACCATTTGGCTTGCTTGAGCAAGAATGAAGTCATTAAGAGGTTGCTTCCCTCTCACTCTGACTGAGCGCTCCAATGTCCAACTCCTTTCACTATCTTTTTTACATTAGATTTTTCCTTCCTCTATCTCAGAACTAACTAAAAATAATTGTAAAAATACCTAAGGCTTAAATAATTGTATTAACCATAAAAACTTAACTTAAATTGCTTATTTTTTACCAGAATATATAAGACTCTAAAACATAAGATATACTCGATAATTATTTAAATTGGATAAAAGATATTGGCATGTTTGACAATTATCTATCATTATACATGTATTGTTACTATTATAAATCTTTTGGGTAAATATAAAGGCAAATAATAAGTTAAAAGAATAACACATAATAAAGATATTTAATAGAAAATAAAAATATAAAAATAATTATAATGTGTCATTAGAAGGTAAAATAGGTGAAGCAAAAGTGGAAAGAGAGTAATTGTAGAGAGAGAATACACTTTGATCAGTTAAGAAACAAATTAAGATACTAACTTTATTAATTGTCATATATTATTTTATAGCTAGGAGGATAACTCTTGTAACGGTTTATTATGATCCCTACACTTAACGATTTAACTACTAGTAGTGGATATATAAAATAACTTAGGATTCTCATACTTATAATACCTTGATATAAATATCATAAGATATATACACACAAACAAATACCTGTTATATGATTTAGTAGTTGATATACTTATATATATATATATATATATATATATATATATATATATACACACACACATACACACACAATAATTCAGTACTCAAGTATGAAAAGAAAATCCAAGTTGTTGATCAAGCAATACTACTACCATTTAGTTACATTAGGGTAGCTCAAAAGATCTACGATACCATCACCCTACATGGCTTCAAAATGAACTCCAACAATAATTTATCCTCACTCTACTCTCATACCAAATATGATCATTACAGTTCAATCACAAGGATAAGCTAGAATTTTAAAAGAATCAACATAGTCATCATAGAATTTAAAACTACTACACTACCAACACAAACAACTTTTTTCACTTCAACACAATATTAACCTACAACTTGTCAACACAGCATAACATAGTACTCAACTCATATTAACTCAACAATGTAATTCAACATCATTCAGATAGTAGGTAAACATATAAACTTCAATGCATCATATACACACTAAGTATTCAGATTTAACAACACTACAACATAACATATGCAACATACCATTCAACAACTCTACCACATATCCAAAACAAATGAATTATATGCGTCGTCACGTATTTCAACTAGGAGATCTTTTATAATACAAATGAGCAATTTAAGTGACTTGAATTTACTAAACCAACAACCCAATTTTTTTAATCCAGCTAGATCAACAATCAATTTGGATAATAATCCACTACATGGTTGCACACATTTTGCTACTTAAACTGGGAAGTCTAGTATTCCTATAAGGTATAACAACTTGTGTGTGAGTTTACCATGACATTAACTAGCATAATTAAGTCATCTATGGAACCACATTTGATGACAATCAAGCAAGATGCAACTCATCAAGTCTAACTTCCTTTGCCCCAAACTCAAAGGAAACTGAGGAAGAAGGAAGATAAGGGATGAGCTCTGAGCACCTCTAAAGCTCCACACCAAACTCAGATTCTCGACCCACTAGCTTTGAATTGTCAACAATCAACTCGACTGAGAGCTCTGAAGACTCCCGAGGCTAAAAAGAAGATGAAAATGGTTTAGAACTTTAAAACTTCTCTCTCTAGTCTATCTCTTTAGGATTCTTAAGAATGAACTTATGAATCTCAATTTTTAAAAGAAAACTTATATACCCCTCACCTCAAGGTCAAATTAGACCTTTATCCAAAGAAACTCCCTAAACAACTAAAATTCATAAGGAATCTCTTAATTTCATAATTTCTCAAATAAATACAACAATCAAAATAACAATGTATATTTAATAAAATCAACAAAAACTTACTAAAAGCATACAATGTTACAACTATTTTATCAGATCGAGCCATATTAGGAATAAAGTGGTACTCTAATTACAATTTTACGTCTAAGACAAAGATCAAACTTTGATTTTGGTTAAGAAACACAAATGTCAAATCATTTGAACTAAAAAAAATTTATTTATTAATCATCATAGATGATAATAGTGTGAACTATTGGCCAAAATTAATGAACATTACAAGGACTTTTGAATAAAGTAGTTTTTTTTGTTATTTTTGGAAGTCATTCAATTGAATTAATAATTTGAAAATAAATCTTATACTAACATTTATTTTGTAAAAGGGAGTCACTACAAAAAATGTTACTTATAATGGTATACAAAAGTATTATTATAAATACAATATATGTAAGTACAAATATTTATTTAATGTATAACTACACACAGTTTTAACGTTAATTTAGAATGAGATTCAACAAAATATATTGTGTTACTATGATCTATATATATCTGCACCTTTTAACAATAAAATAACATATATTGTATCTATAATATAAATAAAATTAATTTTTAGTAATATATATTATGTCACTGCAAAATGTGTGTTATTATATGATAAATTCTTTTAATAGTGAATCTCAATAATTAAGGCAACAACCAAATTTGTATAAATAAAAGAAAAACTTTTAAAAAGGGCCAAAATATATTGATTTTCTTTTTGCCTGAATTGACTTTTAGTGATTAATTCACATCATTAATTTATGATAATAACAAATTAAAAAAGAGGATAATAAAACAAAATAAGCACAAAGAACAAAAAAACAATTTAGAAAGAAGAAAAAATTATCAAAACACATTAAGTGGAATGTGATATTAACAAAGCTCTTGGTTGAGCCTAACGTGACAAAAACATTAGACCAATACAAAATATAAACAGAAATAGTACAGAACATTTGCTTTTTTGGAATCTAAGCAAATGGCTAGCACTGCCCTTCGACGATCTTCTCCGCCGTAGTGATGGGCAGGGAAACAAAAGGTGTTGGCAGGTTACGATGGGAAGAGATCCGGTGTGCTCTGTTTTTCAATGTAGATGGAAAAAAAAAATCTAGTGTTGAATGTGTTTCCTTTTTCTTTTTTAAAAAAATCCATGACATTAACAAATAGTGTAAAAGACTGACCAAGCCAAAATGTGTCATGGATATGGTCTAGAACACCTTGTGCTTGGGAAGGCACTTCCTCAAGTCAAATCAAAACATGTCTCTTGTAGAGAAAGCTAGTTTAGCTAGCAATCTAACTAAGTTGCAGTTCCTACTTATATGTGTAAGTTTTTTCCTATGGAATTTTCACCTAATAAAAGGGATAGACAATCTTAGTTCTTGGATAATATCGGAAATATATGTACAATCACTATACTTATACCCTTTCTCCATTCCACATAGAGCTCTTGACAGTCAATCTCAATAGTGTTTCTTATTATCATAGAAATGAGTGAGATAAATCTAATAGTTATGAAATGTAGCCCATCGTAGTCGTATACCACAATTGCATCCGTCTTATATCAGAACTTATGTGTCACAGTTAACGTTTGGGTCTAGTAAAGTATAAGTTTTATTTTGGCCTTAAGCTTATATATGAACCATATATACCACTTGACCTACCACAATGACCTTAATTTTATTTTATTTTAACTCATCCAATGAGGAGGAGGTAACACACACATCCCACTTTTTAATGGGGTTAGGTAAGGACTTAAGAGGTTTCAATCCACACGTTGAGCATATGATTCATCGTTTCATTGTTAATCTCTCTTCTTGTCTTTTAATTAAACTTAATCTCAATTATAGTAATTTTACTTTTACTTTAGACAAAATATTTCAACTCGACTTGGAAATTGCTACGGTACCCTCAAAGATCGAGGGGTTTCAATACATTTTTCTATGTAAACTCATTAAAGATTTAAAAAAATATTTAATTATAAAATGAATAATCCAAATTATACTTATAAAATAAAAAGTAAGATAAAATTATAGAAATTAAAATTATAAGATTTCAATAATATTAAAAAATATTAAAAAAAAATTAATAAATAGTAGAAATTAAAAATTATTAAAATTATAATATAGAAATTAAAAATTTAAGAAAAAAATACAAAAAAAAATAGTAAAAAGATAAAAATATACTTAAAAATTATTAAAATTAAACTATTTAAATATATAATAATATTGTTACAAATAAATTAGAATATATAAAATAAAAATAAAATAACTAAATAATTTAAAAATTTTAAAAATAAAATATCATAAATATTATTTAAATAAATTATTAAAAATATAAAATATAAAAAATTGTACCGGTACCCTCTCAAATTAGATGAGTAACATATTATTTCTCTAATTTCAATTTAGTCTTCGCCATAATATCTTTGACTAAGCCTTGACTACTCGTACTGTCGCCATGATATATATTATCCACTATCCAAGTTTATTAGCCATATTTATTAGGGGAAGTTAATTGCGGCATTGACCCTTGTTCAATTGAACTTTAGGAGTTCTCTGCTTTCTGAATAAATAGATATGGCTTATAAGCATAATCTACGGCAGCATGATAGTAGAAAAGAACAAATTTAAAAATAACGGATGATATAAACGATGATGATATATAATATCAGTAGAAGTAAAGCTCACGACACTAAGTACAAAGTAGAACTTGTACAATACATACTCTCTACTTTGCTCTTAAACTCATCACACAAGCACAAGGACATATTATTCATAAACGCTATTTCTACTAGCGAAATATCTCTAGTGGTGAGAAAGGTCATGGCAATCCATGCCTCTCATGACGAGATTAATTTTATTTATGAAACATCCGCGTCGACAACATTGTCTCAATTGTGAGTCTTATCCTGAGTTTGTGCAGAAACAGCTTCACCAGCGTAATAGCAGCACCTTTTGCAATCTCCTCTATATGTCCGACCACCACAACAGCCATGGCGACAATACCCTCCTCCTCGGCCTGGGTAACCGCCACCACCGTGGCCAGGGTAGCCACCGCCATGACCAGGGTAGCCACCTCCATGTCCAGGGTAGCCACCACCATGGCCAGGGTAACCACCACCACCACGGTAGCCACCACCACCATTGCCTGGGTAACCACCACCATTGCCTGGGTAACCACCACCGTAGCCTCCACCAGGATATTTGGCATCATCTACTCCATTTGTTTCTTTAACAAGCACAAAACAAAGTTAGCGAACCATTTACGATATGAAAAGGCATGAGCAAGATAGAAAAAGATGTCCATTATGATGGAATGAATAGGATTATGAAACCTCTTGTTTTGTAATGTTATAAATTTAAAAGTTTCACTAACAAATATTTTAGGTACGTTAAATAAGAATTAAAAAATGATTATTTTTTTTTAATAAAACAATGCAGTGATAGTAATAGTATCCTTTAAAATATTTATGAGAATCTAAGGCGATTAAAATGATGTATAGCTTACCCTCATTTGAATTTGTGGATGCCACCTCTGAGGAGACCAAAAGGAGCATGGCCAACAGGCCTAGGATCAGTATTGCCATCTTGGAGCTCATCTTCAACGTACAGATTTACTCAAATGAGATATGTTTGGTAATGAAAGGATGAGAAAATTAGTGGGAATGCATATCCTTTATATAGGAGGGAAGGAGAGAGAAAAATGGAGGTTTGTCTTAACTTGGTAGTTGGCGCAGTAGGGTCATATTAATTCAGTCTTATCTAAAGAGTTAAGAACCGAAGAGTTGTTCTTGATCTCCCGTTCAATGTCCTTCTTCATTTTAAAATGGTAAAAAGTTGTATGCTATGAAATTGAAGCAGAGGCAGAGCAATTATTGTAGCTGTATCAACCTGCTATATATATATATATATATATGTATCCACTTGCTATGTACCGAAAAGTGAAGTAAAGACGGCTGCTGCTAGTTTGCTGTCATGATTTTATTACATTTAGCATGAGTTCATGAGAGACTATCTTAAGTCATAACCTATATAAATTTTCAAGATAGAGATAAAAGGATATAATTATATAGAACTCGATATAGAGAATCTTATATCATTCATATCTAAAAATCAACTTTACACGTTATATACTTACATTACAATATGTTTGCTTCAATGGTTGTTTTTTCACATTCTTCATTGTAATTCCTTTAAAAAAGTAATTATACAATATACCATCAAAATTAATTTTCTGAGCAAATGTTGAAGTGTCTAGTAGCAGTATATGGTATAAGAGTTTATCTCATCTATGAATACGTTAGCTTGAGTTTGAATATTATGTTTGAACAACCCAATTTAAAAAAGTTATAAGCTTTTTATCTTAACTAATGTTACTAGACCTATCAAGTCATTATATAAGACTATTAACAAATATTCAGTTGTACAAAATTCCTGTTCGAGAATCCTGATGAATTCATTAGGAAGCAAACCATGTGATCTAATTTTTAAAATTGAGTTAGACCTAAAGTTAAATTATATTATTATTAATTACTTTAATAATGTCTTGATTTACATGTTCAACACTAGTCCAAGAGTAAACATATTTTGAATAGAATTTAGAAACACCAGTGACTCTCTGCTAGCCGCATTCTATATTGTTGTGGTCAACTGGAAGAACTTTAATACTCAAATTAGTTTTACATAAAATGATGAAGTGAGTGGAAATTGGAAGGTCACAATAACTACGAGAATGCTTACACATTTTAATGCTATAAATATGTACAAAAAAATGTTAAGTATGTCATAATATAATTACGCATAACAATTTTTTATGAGTATATTATGTTAATTTACACATTTTTGATAACATGTTATATAATTATGTATAACATGTGTGTTATATGTTATAGTTATAGGAAACACGTTGAGACCTTGTCTAACTAGTTTATTTTAAATTATCTTCATAATAAGCAAGGGATGAAGCAAAAAGAAAAAGAAACTTATATTTTACATTTTGTAGATTTAGCATTATGTTAGGACACCCTTAGTATTTTGTTGTACAATTAAGAAACACTTGCATGAGGCTCATTGATTTATAATTATTTCTTTTGTGAAGTACTTATTGATTTATAAGTGTATAGCACTTTGGGGTATTCAATATTATATTTGGTGTTATAATTAAATATAAATATTTATTTTATTTTATAATATATGTTTGTATGTATGGTAATCTTAAAGGTGTTACATTAATCATGAATATTATAGGTATGGAAAATATTATTCCCTTTACAAAATAATTATCGTAAAAATTACAAATTTTAATTAATTAAGAATGTAAAAAAAATATTAGGAGTATTTACTTTTAAAAAATTCAAGAAAAATCATTTTTTTCTTTCCAATAATGGATTATGCATTTATTATGAGATGCTGCCCATGCAGCAGTAGGTTATGTTATTAAGTGCGAAAGACAATTCAGGCGATCAAGTCAGGTGACTCAATGATAAATGAATAAATGGAGCCACGATTTTTTTTCGCGCAAAAAATGATTCCGAATGTTATATTTTAAATTAAGAAATGTAATAAAAAAATTATTTTATAGATCTTTGAATCTTTTATTATACTTTTTTTTATTCCATAAAAATTATATTAATTGAAAATATATAAATTAATTAAATAATAAATAAGAACTAATGATATAATTTGTTTGAGTGCGAAAACACCAATTGGTTAAAACTAACAAAATGGTAGTAATTGCAAACACTCTCACGCACTAATCACTATATATTTAAAATAATAATTAGGCAAGCAGAGAACCTAAACAAACATGAGGGATGTGTCGTTCATATAAGAGCTTGTGAGTGAGTTAAAGTGTGTAAAGTTGTTAGTTCACATGAACAATTTATAAGAATACTCTCAATGCGAAGCATGAAGAAGTCGATGATGACATGAAATTTGTGTCTTTATAAGCTTAAATAATAATCTTAGATGATATCTTGGATAATTATAGGATCCTTGTGTCAGAAGTGTTTTCAATGGTGGATCCATATATAGAAAAGAGTTTTCCTAGTAACATGAAAGATTATAAGGTGTGTCTTGCTATCGTGAGGTATTATATATGGAAGAGTCTTCCTAATAATATAAGGGTTAAAGACATGTTTATTATCATAAGTTAACGACAAAGCGACCGCATAAGTACTTAAAACGTAATTAAGTTCTATGGGTCACTACCGAATATACATGTGAACTTTCGTTCCAAACTGAAGTAAACTACAATATTTTGTTTAAGGAGATGATTGTTGGGATACAATCAAAGTCTTATATCATTTCAAACAAGAACATAAACATGAATTTATATACACACAATCTTCATTATTAAAAGACTTTTTAGGTAATCTCTAAAAATAAAACTATGATTACTTAAGTTCAAAATAAACAATATTTTACTAATATGAAGACATGTACATGTGTAAAACTCTCGGTATTAGATAATTTAATTAAAAGATATAAATTATTATCATCTATATCAGCGTATATTAATATAATGACTATAATTTTAACATTTGAAAATTGTGTCAATTATCGATAAAGTGGTGTATTTTAGTAAAAATTATTTTAAAAAGTAATATATTAATTAATAAAACTGTCGTTTGTTTCGATAAGTATATCTTTATTTGATTATATATAAATATACATTGTTTTATATTCATTATCGAGCCTGACTTCGTTAAGCCACATTAATCTCTTGTCACTCACGTTAAGCGACAAGATAAATATGTATATAAGATAGAGACGCAAAGTGAATTGATAAACTGCTTGAATACATTAAAGTGGGCCTAAACGCTCGTGCAAGTTGATTGCTGTATGTACAAGTGTGCAACCAATTGGATGACGAGTGTGATGGAGCACCGTACCATTGGCTCCACGCTTTTCAGTATGAGAAAACCAGTGAACCGAATATTGCAAACTTCTTAATAGGGGGAGGACGAAAATTTTGACCCCATTTCCTGACACTTGCCTCACCATCATAAATCACCCTAACCGACCATTTCTCTGTTTAACAAGAAAATTATTATGTCGTACGGATCATAAATAATTATTAATTTTAAGAGATATAATGATTCATTTTTTAATCGTTGAATTAATAATTTTTAATATATAAAATAAATTATAAATTTAAAAAAAATTAAAAATCATTAAATACTATTTTTATGAATTTAAATTAATAAATAATTTTAAAAATATTTTATATATTAATTTTAACTAATGAAACGAAATATTAAAAAGTTTTTAATTACTGACTTGATTTATAAATTACAGATTTTTAATTTAACAATTAGATCATTAAAAATTAATATAAAATGTGAGTTATTAAATAAAGTAAATTTAAGTAAATTTATTCTTGAAATAAGTCTAAATGGACTTACTTCACTCAATTACTAAAGTTTCACATTAAATTATAATGTCTAACTATTAAATTAAAAGTTATTAATGCATAAACCAAGTCTATAATTTTAATTCAAGTCTTTTTCTTTCATTCAGAACTAAGTACAAAGTCAGAAGGCTTGGAACAGTTCTTCCTTCTTCCTTTTTCTCTTCTCTTTTTGGAATCAACTTAAAACTAATTCTTAAACCCTGAACTCAGAATTGAGTTAGATTTATTCTTGGAGTAAGTCTAGATGGGCTTACTTCACTCAATTACTAGTTTCACATCAAATTATAACGTTTTATTATTAAATTAAAAGTTATTAATGCATAAATAAAATCTATAATTTTAATTCAAGTCTTTTTCTTTCATTTAGAGCTAATTACAAAGTTAAGAGGCTTGGAACAGTTCTTCCTTCTTCCTTTTTCTCTTATTTTTTTGTGAGTTAGCTAGAGTAGTGGAGAAGTTTGAGTTGTTGAGTTACGACTTGTTTTCAAAACTGTACAGAGCAAGCAGAGCTTCTTCCTTTTCTCTTCCCATCATGACAAATTTTGGTTATCTGAAGAGTACGGGAAGTTTGAACTCGAATCATTATTATATTTTGAGTTGCATGTGGTTAGATCATCATCAAAGATGTAATTCGTGACTGAGTTGGTTGAGTTGAGTAGGTTGCATGTCATTTGGATTTTTTGGATATTCTTGAATAAGTTGAGTGAAAATGGGTGATCTTGGTATTTTGATGGATGCATGTGATGTTTTATGACATTTTTAAGTTGTATGAATGAATCTAGTAGTGAAAATGAGTTGTAAAGGGTGTTTATGGAGAGAAATCGTTGAGAGTAAGTGAGAAATGAAGGAGGAAGCCATAAAAGTGCAAAAAATTTATGCACTCAACGCTGCAGTCATGGTGGAAATGGGATGGCAGAGATCCAACATTGCACTCGTGGTTGAGCGTTGTAGCTGTGGAGAAAAATTGGACTAACAAAGATCCAATACTATAGTCATGGAAATAAACTGAGCTGGCAAAAATCCAATGTTAAAGTATTGATTTGAGCACTATAACGATGAGGGTACTATTTGGTGGTAAGTCATGTCAAAGGTGGCTCTCTTTTAATGTTGTTACCTTGAGATAGTTAGATCTTGTATAAATACTTGACCGACGACTACATTTATCTTGTATATAGTAGTTACTTCTTTTATATTAAGTATGTATATATGTTCAAGAATAATTATTTTATTTTTTACATATA